TATTTTTATTTCAGAAATACATTCTTCAGGCCCATCAGCACATTTATCCAGTTTTCCTAAGCATAAACTGTGCAGTCAAAATTTTTTTGAAAGTGTAAATATTAAATTATACTATAATTATTTGTTTCATTTTTCATTACCTTTGTGTGTAAACTAAATGGTTTTAGGTGTTATGTTTCATAAAAAATATACATTTTAAAATTATATTTTTTAAAAGAGCTAATTAAATGTCTTTATTTATTATTTACTTTCAATATAAGCCGATATGGCTGGTAGGAGTATGTGGGCAATCATTAAGGGACTACATGCAAGGCAAAAGGTTGGAAGCCACTGGTTTTTATTCCTCCAAGTTAAAAGTGATGTATGGTCAGGGCCGTCCATAGGGGGTGTGGTCCCCCCACCCTCCGATGCGGGGCCCCGGGCAGTCGCCCCGATTCGCCGTGATGGCTCTGTGCATAGAGATTGTTTAGAAATGCACATAAACATTAAGACTCAGTTTTTCAACAAAAGTGCTCGACGGTTTAAAATAGTTACGAGCTAATCGCTGGCCTAAGTGGAAAACCTACAATAACACGCACACGTGCCCTGTGTCCGTAAACGTTTAAAGTTCGCTCGTTTATTGCAACGCCTTGTGACGTTTATTATTTTATAACACGGCTCGTATTTTTTGATGTTCCCTTGTTGCAAACACCGCTTGCGGTGGCACTCGAGTGTCTTGTGACCGATCCCTGTGTACCACGTTCCAGTGGCAATTCAGAATAAGAATATCTATTCATTCTGGAGGAATCCGATGAGCTATCAAGCTCTTTTTCACTGATGTCCAGTGGGGACAAGTCAGAACGTTACAACAACAAACAAAATAAAAACACGATAGGAGTGAAAAGTATAGGAAAGGTAAAATACATCACTCAAATACATGCAAATAAAACTTTTTTTTATCTTACCATCTAAAGCCCAGTTGAGCTATTAGCTTCATTTTTAGAAGCGACCTGGCCACAAATGGCAGCTCAAAGCAGTGGCTCATCGTCGTGTGCAAATCCCACGAGGTAAGCCAAGCCCACTGGCACTCCCGTCTTGCTTTAACGGCCAGGCAGGATCAGGACGGAATTCAGCCAATTCCACGCACAAGGTGTCGACCCGCCACACATTTCAATGGCGATTCTGTCCAATACCCGAAATGAGCCAGAAGCGACATTTTTGGCTGGTTCGAGTTGGCGATGCTTAGCTAATCACAAAGGTTTTGGGTTATGTTGCGTAAATATAAACGCGTTGTCAGATCGCGTAAATATAAGCGTGCCGTTAAACGTGCCGTTAACGATGCACTGATATTTACGCGATCTAACCCATGAACCTTTATTGTGAATAATATTCGCCGCGAAAGCCTACGTGATAAAATCCTTAGCTAAGTTTGCGTTTTATGAGCGTCACAATAGAACCCCTATTACATTCACTGATCTTCCATGACAGAATCCCTGCTAAAATTCCATTCAAATGAATATAGGGTCATTTTAACTTGGGGATAGCCCATGAAAGAATCGCGATTCCTGCACGACGCGACCAGTGTGACTATCGTAGGAATCGCTCAGCTCTGATGGAAGTTGTAACATTTCAGCTGAACTTACGCCATGAATAACAGACCGATTAGCATTAACTGTGTTTGTCACTATCACTGAGCATAAATATATCAATGTTTCTGTACAGCATTTTGTACAATAATTTATCGGAAGCGACCTGGCCACAAATGAGAGCTCAGTGAAGTGGCTTATCATGTGAAATTGTATAGCAGCCAAATACTCTAAACGCATGTGTCTAAGTCTGGAGGGAAAACCCGGAGGACCCAGAGAAAAATCCACGCGACCATGGGGAGAACATGCAAACTCCAAATATATGGGTGTCAGGGTCAAGATCGAACCCACGACCTCCTGCATACCAGGCGAGGTAGTCAACATCTAGCCACCGTGGCGCCCATACAGTCACTCTGTGAATACATATTACTGTATATTATTCAGGAAATACAAGTTTACAGGGAGAGCCCTATTAGTAAGGTTACAGAAGGGCGGGTTTGTGTTTATCCAATGGATAAGACACTAATACACAGCGGTGGTTGGTGCTGGCAGGTTATGTGGAGATGGTAGAGCACAGCACTTGGCAGGATGACTTGTATGTATGTTGAACTTCTTTCGCACCGTGCTTAGATAACCCAGCTTATCCGGGGTGCGGGGGGAAGGACAATAAACTACCGGTCTGAGCAAATATAATCAGAATATGTATTTGTACTAGAGGAGGAATCCGATGAGCTATAGAGCTGTTTTTCGCAGACGTCCAACAGGAGCGGGTAAGAACGTCGCCACAACAACAAACAGGACAAAAACACGATAGGGGCGAAAAGTACAGAAAAGGCAAACAGATTCACCCAAAAACATACGAATACAACTAAACCATACCCATCCTACCGGGCAAAGGCCACTGATGTATAAGAAGCAGCGTGGACATTGTGTCTCAGAGTAGACCGACGGATAGGATCACAACCCTCCATCTATTTGACTAATTGGGAGAAATCTCAACCCTCTGGAGTTTAACACGCAGCCGCTCAAGTGACAAATATCACGCGCGGTGGTGACTCGATGGGTGGAGCGCTCCTCTGACCGTTGGGAACTTGTGATGCCATTTGGGCCCCCATCATCCCCTCTGGCATTGATAAAATGTGAACCACTTTGGATGTGCGTGTGTTGAACTTCTTTCGCACCGTACGTAACCAATGGCGCTAATCGAAGGTGCTGGGGAAGGACAACTAAACACAATAAAGTGATTTAATTTAGTTGTTTTCATTTATTTTTATTTTATTTTTTACCTACGTGACTTTACCGAAAAAAACAAAGAGTATGAATCCTTGCAGTCACGAAAGCTTCAAATCTAGAAACAAAGCAGTTTTAAATAAATTAGTTTTCAATCTAATGAGTATTTGAGAAGTCAGCAGTAATTATCCTTACGTAGGCGAGCCCTCACCTCCACTGGAATAAACTTCCCCTGTAACAGGGCGATCCAGATGTCTTGTTACCCCTATTTCATTCTCTAAAACGTTACAAGACATCTGGACCACCCTGTGTACATGAAGCAGCACGCTCCCTGAACCTTCTTCCGTTCCTCTCTCAAAGCCTCACGTTATCTTCTCTATCACCAATTCTCTTCATCTTTCCTCCCCAGGCTCCTCTCCACTCCATCCCATCCCTCCCCTGTAGCCCTTTCGCTCGTTTCTCAGTCTGCTTGTTCCTGCTGAGGGTGGCGGCCCTCTAGCCATTCCGTGATCCCTAATTACCCCTCGAACGCGGTCACTCATCCCTCAATCCTCGTAGCACGCCTCTGCCATCCACATCATTCTGTTGTATCTACGTTTTGCAAGCTGCGTCAAGCGTCTCGCGTGAAGGCGTTTTACAAATATGCAATTGGATAAGAAACTAAACTATTTTACCTTACCAGGTAAGGCCATCCACAAACGATAGCTCAATGAAGTGGCTTGTCAGGTGGCCTTAAACACGTTTCATTTTGACCGTCCTATTGAGCAAAGAGCTCCGAGGTGGAGAACGCCGTCACGTCAGCTATAACGTTGTCACAGTAGCGTCGTAATAACTCGGTGATTGATTAAAAGCGGATTTATCTGAATTGCTAACTGCACAGGAGTTGCGAGGCAATGATCACGACTCCCTGGAGTGCTCCACAGCTAATCGGCGCGCGCGAACCAGGTGCGGACATCGGTGAAAAAAAAGAGCTTTATAGCTCATCGGATTCTTCCAGTATACATATTCTGATTTGAAGTACTTCTGAATCCAAATATGACGTTCGATGGCTATGGAAATTCTATTTATTTTTAAAGTGATCCGTTTACATTGCCTATAATTTGCACGCCTATCGTGTTTTTTTGTATTATTTGTTGTAACGTTCTAACCGGTCCCTGCTGGACATCTGTGAAAAAATAGCTTTATAGCTCATCGGATTCCTCTAGTATAAATAATATTGTGATTCTGGGATTGAGTGACCACCTCTTTCACGTTACCAGCTCTGGTGAAGCACGTTTACCCTCGAAAGCCTCACAAGCGTCTGAAGAGGATATGTTCAGGGGTGGTTCCTGCCAAGTTTTCGCAGTATGTGGCGATGTTCCTGCTGTGTGTACATCCAATTCATATGCAGGTGTTTTTTTTGCATTGGGATAATTGGTCAATGTCAGCTTCATTCTAGTGGGGGGGGGGGGGGGGGTTGCTTTTTTTAGCTATGGGGGGAAACTTGGGAGGCCGGAGAAACCCCATACGGCACAGAGGGAGAGCATTCAAACTCCAACAACACAGACACGCGGCCGAGTCCACAGTCGAACCCACAATCTTCTCTGGCTGTGCGCACAGCGGGCCACCAACCCTGCCGCACGTGTGGGCCTTGTGAAGGTGCGGGGGAGGTGCGCTCGAGGCTTTGTGGGGGGGAGGGGGGGGGGCTCGTGGGTGGCTCGGAGCTACGGGGGGTCGTGGGGGGCTCACAGTCCGTGGGGGGCTCCGGGGCTACTGGGTGGCTGTTGCTCGTGGGGGGTTCGGGGCTACTGGGGGTTCGTGGGGGGCTCAGAGCCCGTGGGGGGCTCGGGGCTATTGGGGGGCTCAGAGCCCGTGGGAGGGCTCGGGGCTATTGGGGGGCTCAGAGCCCGTGGGGGGCTCGGGACTATTGGGGGGCTCAGAGCCCGTGGGGGGCTCGGGGCTATTGGGGGGCTCAGAGCCCGTGGGGGGTTCGGGGCTACTGGGGGTTTTTGGTAGGCTCAGAGCCCGTGGGGGGCTCGTGGCTACTGGGCGGCCCGTGGGGTGCTCGTGGTTGACCGCTCCGATTCATTTCATTCCGGAATCGTTTCACTGCCACCGTGGGTCACGCGCCCGGGCTGGGAGGGGTGGGGTGGGGGTCACGTGACGTAACCCACTCAGGTGGGCGGCGGGGGGGGGTGATGCAGTTATGGGGGTCGTCACGTGACGGATCAGCTGATCGCTCCACGTGGGGTGTCCGCATTCCGTCGCCGCCGCTTCCTCTTTAAAGGGGCCGCGTCCACGTTTGTGGGTCGCAGCTCGGCGTGGCCACAAACTCCACCGCCGCTTCTCGCCTCGCTCACCTCCACCAACACCTCCACCTCCCTCCCTGCATCGCCTGAAATCGCGTCTTCACTACGCGAGTCCAACACCTTCACGCCGCTCGCTTCCTCCTTCGCCGTGACCCTGCCAGCAGCCTCTGACACCAAGCGAGGTGAGTTGGTGGCGGTGGCGGCGGCGGGGCCCGGGTGTCCCGAGGGGCCGGTCCGCGCGGTGGGCTGGCATGAGGTGGTTGCGACGGGGGTGGTGGGGCTTGATGTGGTTGTGGTTGTTGTGGCACAGTAGGGCGCACAGGTGGTGGTGCATCGGGCCAGTCATCGCGGTCGGTCGACCCGTGGCACCTGCTGGGTCTGTCCCGTGACCCTCGTGCCAGCGGGCGTTCGACACTTCACGTGGCCTTAACGTGCACCTAGCCTGGCACAAGCGTCGTGGTGACGTGATCGTCGCTTAGTGGCGAATGGCGGTTGTTGTTGTTGTGGGGAGCGGTGGTGTACCGGTTAAGGCTGCGCTACGTGGAGACTCGAGTTCGATTCCCGCTCACGGCCACCAACACCACCGACGAATATCTGAACCGGTCCTGGGCTTTCCCCTAGGGTCGACTCTGCCTCAAATGGGTACCTGGTGCGGCGTGTAAACATCGCCACTTGGGAGAGACAAAGGCGGCCGGGCGTGTTGCTGGCCACCCATTGCCTCGTGTTCCGTGCCGGCCTTTCAAAGGTGCTCGCCAACAGCACTTGGGCCCTGCAGTCTGTTCAGGCTATACGGGGGTGGTCGTGGTTGTTATTTGTTGACTGTGTCTCACTCGCCGAATGCAAACAAAGGAAACGCAATTTGGCGTCTGTGGAAAAAAAAAGAGCTTCATAGCTCATCGGGATTCCTCGAGTATAAATAAAGAAGATTCGGATTCTGAGCTCCCCCGCTAAATTAAATACCCCCCTCCCTGACCCAATCCACCCAATCGCGGAAGTTAAGCCGAGTAGAGCCTGCCCAGTGCTTGGATGGACGACCGTGCATAACAGGTGTTATAGGCTGCTGTCTATGTTGTGGGCAGCAAAAGGTCCGTGCAGAAAAATCTTTGTACTGCACACACTGTTCTCGTGTGCTCCGGCGTCTACGCTGTCCGCTTTTGCCGACTCCTTATTGACCAGAATGCGTGTTTATACTGGAGGAATCTGATGAGCTATAAAGCTCTTTTGCACACACGTCCAACAGCCCCCCCCCCAGTCAGCGCTTTATTGTCAAAAGGGCCGTGCCGTGTACACATTCATCGGACGCAACTTTCTTAAATTAAAATGGTTGCAGTTACGTTCCACGTTTTATTTGAATCGAATTAAAGCGGTAACGAAATATTGCGAAGAGGCACCACGAGAAGCTGTCCTGGCTGCATTTTGCGAAGGTGGAGCGCCCCCTACGGCGTTAAATGTTCGAGACCGTGAGCGTAACGATGTGTGTACTCTTTGGTTCTATTCGGTAAAGTCACGTAGAACCAACGAGTATGGATCCTTGCAGTCCCGAAAGCTTCAAATCTAGAACGGAACGATGTGGTTAGGGCAAGAGGAGCCGCCGTATACCCGGTGCGTCAACAATGTTTTAACATCTTCTTTGGTTCTTTCGGTAAAGTCACGTAGAATGAGAATAAAATAATAAAATAAGACAATAAAATTCTCACGACGTTTCGGCCACAACACAAGTGGCCTTCTTCAGGTGAAGGAACAGAACTGTCGGGACGACAGAGCTACAATGAACGCTGCTAAGATTCGTAGCGTCTTTTAAGCTGGGTGAGAGAAGTGAGGCACCTTGACAAAGGAGTTTACAAATCAAACAGGAGAATTTAGCATTGAAATAGCTGTGGGATTAGCTTGTGACTGGTCACAGAAATAGCTGTGTTAAAGTCAAAGCTTACACATCCACAGAGGCACCTAGTACAAATCAAACAGGATAGTTTAGCATTGAAATAGCTATGGGATTAGCTTGTGACTGGTCACAGAAATAGCTGTGTGAAAGTCAAAGTTTACACATCAACAGAGACACCTAGTACAAATCAAACAGGATAATTTAGCATTGAAATAGCTGTGGAATTAGCTTGTGACTGGTCACAGAAATAGCTGTGTTAAAGTCAAAGTTTACACATCAACAGAGGCACCTAGTACATGGACGCCAAAGGGGCTGCAACTACCCAACCGTCATATAGTAAACCGATGTGGAAAAAAAATGTTTTAACACTTATATGTGACTATTCAGAAAGGAAAAAATATTCTCAGAAAGTGTTACAACAATTTGAAGCACCCTGTTTAATTGCTTGGGTTCGTCCGTGCGAGACAAATCAAATGTTGGGCCCCCCCCCACCTGACCGATTGCCGCACCTTTTGAGCTGATAAAGTCGTCACTACGCCACTGATTTGTCGGCACCAGTTTGCGAGGTTTCGGAAGCAGAATATTTATGTATAGTGGGGGAATCCGATGAGCTGTAAAGCTCTTTTTCGCAGATGTTCAGTGGGGGCGTGTCAGAGAGTTGCAACAACAAACAATACACAAACACGATAGGAGTGCAAAGTATAGGGAAGGTAAGCGAAGCGCGTTTAGAGTATTTGGCTGCTATAAATGTCCACGTGATAAGCCACTTCGTTGAGCGATCATTTGTGGCCAGGTCGCTTCTGAAAAAAAAACTATATAGCTCGGTAGGGCCCTTACCTGGTAAAATAAAAAAAAAGTTTATTACAGCCTTGTAAATTCGATTCTGCTGATGTGGCGCTCTCACCTGGTCAAGCTATAAACGTAAACTTGAACTTGTGTGCACTTTAATTAGTGACCGTGTGGGTGATTCATCACCGTGTTTTGCCCGTCCATGCATGAGATTCGTGGCTGCGTGTACATGGTTGTGTGTGTGTGTGATTCGTGACATTGTGTGTGTACATGTTAATAATGCGTGTGATCAGTGAACGGCGTATTTGTGGGTGTGCATGCCCGTGTGTCTTCATTTGTGACAGCGTGTACACGTTTGAGTAACAATGTGTAGTGGGTAGCACTCTGCTACGAACCACGCTTACGGCCAATATCGTTGACGAATATTTCAACTGGTCCAATACATCCCCTAGGTCGACTCGGCCTCAAATGAGTACCTCGTGCAGTGCGTAAACGTCGCCAACAGAGGGAGAAAGGCGGCCAGGAGTGGTGCTGGCCACCCACCCCCTCGTGTTCCATGCCGGTCTTCATAGGTTCTCGCTAATGGCACTTGCCCCTCCAGTTTGTTAAGGTTACACGGGTGATCTTTATTGTCTGTGTGTGCGTGCGTGCGTGCACAGGCCATGCTGCTGTTGCGCGTGCTGTGTGCGCTGGTGTCCACGTTGTGCGTGCTGGGCATGGACAACGGCCTCATGAGGACTCCCCCCATGGGCTGGCTCGCCTGGGAGCGCTTCCGCTGCAACGTGGACTGCAAAAACGACCCCGACAACTGCATCAGGTACCGTAACACTCCCCGATGTACGCCCTTTCCATTCCGCGTACGTTCGCTGTACCGTACCCAACTTATTGATACCCGGTCCCATTGTACGTACTGTGCGTAGCTCGCCGTGACGTACTCTCGAGGTTTTACGAGCTTTTACCATCGAGACCCAAAGTTTTTTTACGTTGCACGACGAACATTCAAGCGCCAGATGGCGCCCACTCGTTAGTGTCGTCTGACTGGCTTTCGTCTCTTTTAAGTGTACATGGATTCGTGGAATATTTTTGTCCCCCAAAAGACCGTATTTACTTTGAGTGTAATCTGTTTTTTATATAATAAACAACTAATAATACATATGATATAATGGACAAAGCAATATATAAATAATATACTGACTTTTCACACCGATCGTTGTTAGGGTACAGATCCGCAATGGGTTACCGAGCATCCTCTGGTTCGGTTCTGTACCACGTTACGATCAACCATCCCATCGCGAGTCGTAGTACAACCACTACTAATAGGTTCTGGAGCACATTACGATCCACCATCCGATCTCCTTGTTCCGATTTCTGTACTAGTGTTTAGGAACGCATACCGGGCGTACCCCGGGGTAACGCCTCGTAATTGGCAACAATCGTGGTAATATCTCAACTTACAAAAGCAATTCCACTATACAACCAGAGGAAGACCCCCCCTCCCCCCCCCGGCCAACATCTCTGATGCCTGCTACTCCACCTGGACACGGCTTCTCTCATCAGATCGTACCGCGCACCTCTAGCTAAACTAAACTTAAATTATTTTTTATTTTACCAGGTAAGGCCCACTGAGCTATCAGAATTGCCCTGGCTACAAATGATAGCTCAACGAAGTGGCTTATAATGTAAAAATGTATAGCAGCCAAAGGAAGGACTACAAACTGAAGCACAGAAAGCAGTTCTAACGTGGTAACTAACCCCGCTTCCCTCCCCCGTGCCCCACTTCCGCTAGCGAGCGACTCTTCAAGGCGATGGCGGACCGCCTGGCGGAGGACGGGTGGCGCGAGCTAGGCTACGTCTACGTCAACATCGATGACTGCTGGATGAGCAGGCAGCGCGACGCGCGGGGCCGCCTGCAGGCCGACCCCGAGCGCTTCCCCAGCGGCATCAAGGCCCTGGCCGACTACGTGAGCAGCGCCGCTCGCCGGCACCGACGGGCCCTGGCTGCCACGCACCGGCTCGTGTTTGTCTCCGTGTGTGTGTGTCTGTCTTTGTGCTTCTGTGTGTGTGTGTGTGAGCTTCTGTCTGTGTGTGTGTGCGCGCTTCTGTGTGTGTGCGTGTGCTTCTGCCTGTGTGTGTGTGTGTGTATGCTAGGGGGAACGGTAGTGTAGCGGTTAGCGCGCTGTGCTACGAACTCGGCGACCCGAGCTTGATTCCCGCTCACGGCCAACACCAGTGACAATTATCTGAACCCGGTCCTGGGAACTCCCCTAGGTCGACTCGGCCTCAAATTAGTACCCGATGCGGCATGTAAACATCGCCACTTGCTAACAGCACTTGTTGAGGCTACAACGGTGGGGGATCTTTGGTGCGTGCGGGCCGGCAGGTGCACGCGCGCGGCCTCAAGCTCGGCATCTACGAGGACCTGGGCACGCTGACATGCGGCGGCTACCCTGGCACGACGCTCGCCGACGTGCAGACCGATGCCACCACCTTCGCCGAGTGGGAAGTGGACATGCTCAAGCTGGACGGCTGCTACTCCAACTCCTCCGAGAAGGCCGAAGGTACCGCCGGCCACGCGGCGGGGATGGGCGCGAGGAGGGCAGGGGCATCCGTCCTCCTCCTCTCTCCTTGGGACATGGTTAAAAGGAAGATGTGCCACTTAGTTTCCTGTTCAGCACACCGGTCTGTTGGATAGGAGGAATCCTGTTACAGGAGGAATTATTCACATATCTGCCTACCGCCTGATGAGGCTGGTTGTAATTACCAGTGAAACATTGTACTCTGAATTTATGGGTGCCATGGTGGCGAGATGTTAAATCTCTTGCCTGGTATACAGAAGGTCATGGGTTCGATCCCAGCCTTGATGCTTGCTGTATAATTGGAGTTCGCATGTTCTCCCTGTGGTTGCATGAATTTTTCTCCGGCTCCTCTGTTTTTTTCCCTTCCACATTTCGAAATATCAGTTAGAGTATTTGGATGCTATAAATTTCGATATGATGACAAGCCATTGTGTTGAGCTATCATGTGTGGCGAGGTCGCTACTGAAAAAGAGCTATTTAGCTCATAGGCCTTACCTGGTAAAATAAAAATTGTTTATAATAGTTTATAAAAATAAAAACGGTATTAGCTTAGGCCGCGTGGCGCAAAAATTGGAAGCACATTGTTGCCAGGTCATAAATATTGCCGTCTCGTCCTCGACTGAGTGTGGCTAAGATGTGAGCAGTGGTGGATGCGGCCTGTTTGTTTGTGTGCTGTGTGGAAGCGGGCGGTCTCCGGTAGCCAAGGCCACGTGGAGTCACGAGCCGCGTGCTGCTCGGCCTTGGTGCGGAGCGAAACGCGGAGACACCACCCCACCCCACCACTTCTCCCCCCATGTGATGGACTCCCTCCCTCCATCTCTGTCTGTCTGTCTGCGCAGGCTACCCCAGCATGAGCCGTGCCCTCAACGCCACGGGCCGCCCCATCGCCTACTCGTGCAGCTGGCCGGCATACGAGGGCGGCCTCCCGCCCAAGGTGGATCCCGTCGCCCCCTCTAACACCCCCCCACCTCCACCACCAAGCCTACACCCACCTTATGGGTACCCAAGGAACTGGATGAGTGCAGGAAAACGTAGGGGAATGGTGATTGTGTTGATGAAGTTCCTGGGAGGTCTGTGGAGGTTGTTAGGAAATGCAGTGATGCACAGAGGTACTGCGCGAAGAGTCTTGGCTTTTCTGAATGTGTGGCGAGTGATTTTTTTTTTCTTTTAGGATGAACCCAGAAAATGAGATCGAGCTAAGGGATGCATTATATTAATGTTTTAAGAGGGTGCCGCAGTGGTGAGATGTTAACTACCTCTTCTGGTATGCAGGAGACCGTGGGTTGGATCCTGACCCTGACACCTTTATATTTGTAGTTTGCATGTTTCTCGCCCCTTAGTCGCGTGGATTTCTTTGAGTCCTCCAGGTTTTTCCCTCCACATTTAGAATCAATGTCATGTATTTAGAGTATTTCAATGCTATAAATTTACTCAATGATAAGCCACTTCGTTTAGCTATCATTTGTCATGTTGGCTCTGAAACAGAGTTATATTGCTCCGTGGGCCTTACTTGGTAAAATAAAAAAATACTGTTAAGTAGTAATAGTTTTAAATAGTTTTTGTGTCTTCATCTCGACTCTTCGAGGCTTTTGGCATCAGCCGAGAGCCAAAGGGGCCTCTAGCTCTAGAGGCCATTGCTTGTCCGCTCGCTCGTCCAGGGGTTGATGGCATTCCCTGCGGGCGGTGCGGCAACTGCAGGTCAACTACACGCAGCTCGGAGACATCTGCAACCTGTGGCGCAACTACGACGACATCGAGGACTCGTGGGATTCCGTTCAGTCCATCATGGACTGGTGGGGCGACCACCAGGAGGTGCTCATCCCCGCAGCTGCGCCCGGCCGCTGGAACGACCCTGACATGGTACGGCACCGCCCGCTGTTTTCATGTTAAAAGCAAAATTCACCACTCTAGGCCTTTGGTGTGCCAGTCCTACTTTTTCACGAAATTGCATATTTTTCCACCAATATTTGTGTCCCGTAATATCCGTCACGTGACAGTCACACCAAGGAATTTAATCCTCATAGCTGGAATTTGTGGAAAAAAAATGGGCACCACGGTGGTGAGATGTTAACTCCCTCGCCTGGTATACAAGAGGTCGTAGGTTCGATCCCGACCCTAACGCATGTATATTTGGAGTTTGCGTGTTTTTCTCTTCGTGGATTTTTCCCCGGTTCCTCCTGGTTTTCCCCTCCACATTTAGAATCAACATGACGTGATTAGAGTATTTGGCTGCTATAAATTTCCATGTAATGATATGCTAATTCGTTGAGCTATCATTTGCGGCCAGGTCGCTTCGGGGGAAAAAGAGAGCTAGATAACTCAGTGGGCCTTACGTGCTAAGATAAAATAATTTAATAATTTAGTTTTTAGTTTGTGCATTCGTTGGTGACTGGGCAGAGACTGACGACTCACTACGCTCGAGGACCCAGTTTAATCGCACGCAGGCAGCGGCTGAAACCTGGATGCGAACCCAGCACTCAGCGGTGCCGGCTCACCGCTTCTCTCCTCGCGCGGGTTCCGAGCAAGAGCACCTGCGACGGCCGCGTGGTGTTTTTGCCCACAGCTGATCGTGGGCGACTTTGGGCTGAGCTACGACCAGTCGCGCGCGCAGATGGCTATCTGGGCCGTGCTGGCCGCCCCCTATTTCATGTCCAACGACCTGCGCAGCATGTCGGCCGCGGCGCGTGAGCTGCTGCAGAACCGCCTCCTCATCCAGATCAACCAGGACCCGCTGGGCCATCAGGGCCGGCGCATCATCAAGGTGAGCCGAGACGTTGAAACATTCTGTCCTCGCACGGTGGTACATTCCGTCCCCACACAGTGGTACACTCCGTCCCCACACGGTGGTACACTCCGTCCCCACACGGTGGTACACTCCGTCCCCACACGGTGGTACACTCCGTCCCCACACAGTGGTACACTCCGTCCCCACACGGTGGTACACTCCGTCCCCACACGGTGGTACACTCCGTCCCCACACAGTGGTACACTCCGTCCCCACACGGTGGTACACTCCGTCCCCACACGGTGGTACACTCCGTCCCCACACAGTGGTACACTCCGTCCCCACACGGTGGTACACTCCGTCCCCACACGGTGGTACACTCCGTCCCCACACGGTGGTACACTCCGTCCCCACACGGTGGTACACTCCGTCCCCACACGGTGGTACACTCCGTCCCCACACGGTGGTACACTCCGTCCCCACACGGTGGTACACTCCGTCCCCACACGGTGGTACACTCCGTCCCCACACAGTGGTTCACTCCGTCCCCACACGGTAGTACATTCCATCGTATCCTTGTCACTCTTTTGTCGCTACAACCATGGTGTACTGTAACCACGAGCTTCACTCATTGGTGTTGACCACCCATTTTGAAAATTCGGTCCGCCGGACTGGCCGAATCATCTCGTGCATCGCACCGTCTTCAACCACTACGCCTGCGATTCACAACAACAACACACCCACTCAACCAATCACTCACTAACTCACCCACCCACTCACTCGCCACACTGCAGATTATGACACTTCTCTTTCTGCACTGCTCCACGTTGGAATTCCCTCCTGCCTACATACATAGTATTTTCTCCTATAACGCGTGTTGTTTTCATAACGCGATGAATGTACTAGGGAGCAATTTTTTTATAACGCGGATGCGAATTGGATATAGCGCGATCGGGTGAACGGAACTACATCGCGCAAGGAGGAATAAGCGGCTATACGGCAACCTCGACGAAGCATCACACGAGGCGGGATGCTGCTGGATGCTACTAGATGCTACCCACGCGCATCAATTTGCTTGGCCTGCGTTCCACATTTCGTGTCATTGCGGACTGTTGCTTTACCCTATATTATTTATGACAACGTGATTTTTTCCATAACACGTTGTTCTTTAGGAACGCAACTCCCAGCATTTCTAGGAGAACAGGCTACACTAACGTCTCTCTTGCCGAGCTTTTCCAGTCGCCTTGCTCAATCCTGCCCCCCCCTCCTCCCGTATTCTCCGGCTGGCCCCGCCTGACCGCCTCTGCGTGTGTCTTTGTCTGGATGCTGTCTACCCCGTCTCTCCAGGAGAAGTCCCACATCGAGGTGTGGTCGCGGAACCTGACTGACGGTGCGTGGGCGCTGGCGTTTGCGAGCCGCCGCGTGGACATGCCGTACCCGTACAGCGCCACGCTGGCCGCGCTGGGGGCTCCCGCAGGCTCCCAGTACTGGGTGAGAGCCGGTAGTGTCCCTTACGGGGTAGTGGCTGCCCTATGGGTAGATGTGTCCCTGTCATAGCAATGTGTTACTCCCGCCACTGGTTCAGGGATATATAAACAAGAGGTGAGCGTCGCCTCAATGCTCGTTTGAGCGATTCATCAGTTCAACAATTTTTTTTATTTTACCAGGTAAGGCCCACTGAGCAATATAGCTCTTTTTTTTTAGGAGAGACCTGGCCACAAATGATAGCACAACGAAGTGGCTTATCGTGTGGAAGTTTATAAATCGCACGTTGATTCTAAATGTGGAGGGGAATTCCGGAGGACCCGGAGATATATCCACGCAAACCACGGGGAGAGAATTACGCAAACTCCAAATATATAGCAGGCGTCGGGGTCGAGATCGAACCGACAACCTCCTGCGTATCAGGCGAGGAAATTAACATCTCTACACTGACTCACTGATGGACAAATTATGAAGTTTCCTGCAATTGTAAATGCCTCCGCCCACCACCCTCCAGAGGTCTCACAGGTGTGCGTGTGCATTTATCCCGCAGGTGATTGACGTGTTCTCGGGGAAGCAGATCGGCACCCTCAAGTCCGAGGAGAAGTTCACTGTGTCCATCAACCCCAGCGGCGCCGAGATGTGGTACCTGAACCCGACTGGTGCCACCGCCGTCGCCGATCGGCCCCTGTGGATGAAACCGCGCGCCCGCATTCCCGTGCCTCCCGGCAACGACTTGCTGTGATCGCAGCTCAGGAGGGAGGTGTGGTGGTTGGCGGCTCGCTAATTCCCAGTTCACAATTATCACGGTTCTCTCTGCGTCGCATCACAATCAACCCCCAACACTTACTACTACTGCTATGTTTCATTATTTTACCAGGTAAGGTCCCACTGAGCTATACATAGAGCTTTTTCAGGCAGTGACCTGGCCACAATTGATAGCTAAACGAAAGTGGCTTGTCATCATGTGGAAATGTATTGCGGCCAAATACTCTGAATGCACATCGATTCTAAATGGGGAGGGGGAAAACCGGAGGACCTGGAGAAAACTCCGCGCCACCACGGAGAGAACATGCAAACGGCAATTATATCGGCGTCAGCGTCGGGATCGAACCTACTACCTCCTGCATACCATGCAGGAGGTAGTTAACGTCTCGCCTCCGTGGCGCCCCAAACTTAAGCCTGCAGATGAAGGCTAGTGCTGTAATTATTTTATACAAATTTTTGCCTTCAAGTGTAGGGGGCCACATGCCTGGAAAGTTGCATATCAGCGTTGTGCCCCGCAATGACAATCCAAGGGTCTGCCCAAATTACTCTTGCAAATAATGAGACTCCTCCTGGTCTTTTCATTTGTCAGCTGAGTTAAACAAAATAAACTTGAATTCCTGGCACAGTTCCCCAAACGAGAACTCCCCGCTGATCCCTCGCTGTCAGTCATTTGCAGCAAGGAGATCCTGGGCCTTTTCCCTTGGTCTCCTCCACCCAGCAGGTGCCCTAAGCAGAGAGAGAAACGTGGTGGGCATGGTCGTGATGCCCAGAATGCTCTAGCCAGACCGCCCGTGTCATGCGGGCAGCCGCACTGCATCTCGCTTTCCCGAGATGGTCTCGAGGTGAGACAAAAAGCCATTTGATCTGTACCCTGAAGGTCACCTTCACTTGCTGTGCTCACCGTGGGATGCTGCGCTGGGGAAATTAAAGTTGTGCGTAGATCTGTGGGGTACATTGGGCAAAAAACCTGCGTGGAATGTGGTGTTGCACAAAGGGACTCTATAATTGGTTAAATTGAGGTCACATGGGTTGAGTCCTGGGCAATGCTTATTCTGTACAAAATGGATGGTGGCTTTGTTTTCTTGACAAATGGTGTGGGTTGAATTAATAAAATGAATTAATTCGTTAAAAGGTATTTAAAAAAATATTTTTTACAAATTCACATTCATACTGCCTCTTGATTGTTGAGTTTACAGTCCTGAGTCGGAGTATCTGCCTGTTGTGAATTTTATAGAGTGGTGTCTTTGCCTGGTTCGATTGAGTCGTTTCAGTTGGAACATTTTGAACATGGCGTGGGTCGATTGGTTCTAGTCCCTAAGCTTTTTTTATCTTGATCTACTGCACATCGTGTGGTTAGAATGAGTTGTCATTGGCTATAACAACCCAACAAGTTTCAACTTTGTCATTATAATGTAGAAAAAGTTTGTGAAAATGTCTGTGACGTGTTGAGCAAGATGTTGCCTCCTACAAAACTTCCTGTGGCATGAATTAAAAAAAATCCTGTTCCAAGAATTACAGCGAGACTCCTAACTCACTAACTAATGCGAGTGTTAACTCTTAAGACGAGTGAACCCTAACCGTATGCTTCCTTGAATGAGAAACCTAAACGAAACGCCAGGAATCATGACCAACCTGATAACAGTTTCCAGTGCTAACAGATCATTCCAACCAATATTGGGATTCATAATAGATGTATGGGTTCGGCCACAATGATCTGGTCAAATCATGTCGTGAATTTACCAGTGAGTTGAAATAATAATAATTGGCCTGTGGAAATGCTTGTACACGTGACAGTTTAATTTGTTTGCCCGTGTCAGATGGAAGGTCTTACGACACGACGGAATCGATGCCAAGTCCCGTACTTGTGATAATACTCTGCAACATTAACAGTGCCTCTTCCTCCAATTTTCATATCTCACTTCTTTCAAGCCTAAACCAAAGATCGTGAATGATAAACTTGACCCAAACATTAGTGCTAACCTGATTTAAATGATTTGCACTGGGGTGATGCTTGTGTGGAATGAAAGTTGAAAAGTAAATGTGGTGAGATCGGCAAACAGAATAAAGAGGCTTTGATTTTTTGTAAACTTTCCGTGTCATGTTTATCTTTTATTTATTATTAATATAATAAGAGCACTTGTAACCTGCACAGTTTTGCAGACGGGTTAAAGTTTGCACGTGACTAGAGGTGCGGTGCCCAACTCTATCTTGTTTTTTTTACCAGGTAAGGCCCACTGAGCTAAAAATATATTTTTCAGAAGCGACCTGCCTATCATAAATGAGAACTCGACGAAGTGGCTTATGTGGAAATTTATATAAACGCACGTTTCTAAATGTGAAGCAAAAAACAGGAGAACTCAGAAGAATCCACGCGACCATGGGGAGAACATGCATACTCCAAATATGCTGCAGACATCAGGGCCGGGATCAAACATACAAGCACGTTTATGGTGAACTTCTTTCGCACCATACTTAGACAACTGCTATAGAAAAATGAGAGCTGTCAAGAAACACTGCCCTCAATTCTCCGTTCACCGTGGAGTCTGCTGGCAGAGCGAGCGGTCTCCAAACCAGCGAGGTTTGGGAATGGGGGCGTGACCTCTGACCGATCGGGAGACTCGGGGCTGTTGTAGTGTGGGGTCTGTTCGAGTGTGAGCACGTGGTTCCGTAATAAATAATCTCAAGACAAATGCGTCGGAGTCATAATTACATGTCTATAGAGACGTTTAAGACTGGACACTTAGAATTTATATCCTGTTTAGATACTGCGTATTTACATACCATATACTTGACAAAGCTCACTCATATAGTTCATTGATCACATGCATATACGCACAGATTGTTATTTGTATTGTTAGTGTTATTTGGTTTTTAATTTGGATTCGTTGGGATAAATCGTGATTTTTTTATTTTGTTGATTATTTGTTAGACATTCTATTGCAATGTTGTGCGGCTGACAAACTAAAGCATTTCGCTGCACTCGCTATGACATAAGTTTTAACTGTGTATGCGACCAGTAAACTTTGATATGATTGAGATGGAGTTGAACCGGCGACGTTCGGATGGTGGGTCCAGTGGAGCTGCTGCTGACCGCCACGTAGCGAGGCAGCGCCCTGTTCTCTCGGTGGCCGGAATACAAACACAACAACAACAACCCTGTTGTGTTTTTGATTTAACCTCGTTTTATGTTTACGTCCACCCAGAGAGCGTCTCAACTTCCATACCAGATGCCTGCCAACATAGCATGCCAACACATAGCATACCAACACAATGACAACCGCCCTTCGCCACTTAGTGGCGGTGATGTCACCACGGCGCTTGTGCCAAGCTAGGTGCACTCTGAGGCCACGTGAAGTGTCGAAGGCCCGCTGGAAGGATGTCATGGAACAGAGACCCAGGTGCCATTGGTTGGCTGACTGAGATGGCCGGTAGATGCACCACCTGTGCTCCCCACTGTGTCAGGCTTGGTGCAGGAGGTCACGGGACAGGCCCAGGTTCCATGGGTTGACTGAGATGGCTAGTAGATGCACCACCTGTGCTCCCCACTGTGTCAGGCTTGGTGCAGGAGGTCACGGGACAGACCCAGGTTCCATGGGTTGACTGAGATGGCTGGTAGATGCACCAGATGTGCGCCCCACTGTGCAACTCTCTGCGCTGCGCTTTAGTCGCCCGCGCTCTGCTCGTTGTTGTGAGCGTCGCTCATTTGCCATCCGTTGTTGCTGGAGGGCGACTGCCTCCAACTCCCCTGCAACGACATTCACGAACACAAAGCATGTCAACACATATTATGCCAACATAACATGCCAACACGTATCATTCCAACATACCACGCTAACAAATAATGCCAACACAGCATGCCAGCACATAGCATGCCAACACATAGCATGCCAACACATAACATACCAACATAGCATACCAACACATAGAATGCAAACATGGCATGCCAACACATAGCATGCCAATACATAGCATGCCAACACAGCATGCCAACATCCCATGCTAATAAACAATGCCAACACAGCATGCCAGCACATAGCATGCCAACACATAGCATGCGATCGTACCATGTCCGCACATAGGATGCCAACACATAACATTCTAAAACACACCATGCCAACACATAACATTCTAAAACACACCATGCCAACACATAACATTCTAAAACACGCCATGCCAACACATAACATTCTGAAACACACCATACCAACACATAACATTCTGAAACACACCATGCCAACACATAACATTCTAAAACACACCATGCCAACACATAACATTCTGAAACACGCCATGCCAACACAGCATGGCAACACGTGCTGCGATGGGGAATGCCTTCGGAAATTGGCACCACGGCACATGGCTGGCGGGGGGCGGGGTTGGTGTTGTTGGGGGGAGGGGCGGGGCTGCGGGGGAGGGAAGGGGATTACGGTAAGCGTTGGGGTTGATGGGAAGGGGGAGAGCTGGGGTGGGTGAAGGGCGGGGGATTGAGGGTAAGGGGCGGGGCTGCGGGGGTTGAGGGGAGGGTTTTCGTGGGGGTTGAAGGGGAAGGGGCGGGGTTATTGAAAAGGGGCGGGGTTTAGTGGGGTGGGCGGGGTTTAGGGAGGTGGGCGGGGGTTGGAAGTTGAGAGTGGGCGGGGGTTTGTCTCGTGCTGGCGCATGCGCAGTGAATCCGCGAGGAGCGAGCAAGATGGCGTTGAACAGGAACCACTCGCAGAACGGAGGCGTCGTGGTGACCAACAGCGAGAGGTGTGCGGGCAGGGCGCGCGAGTGTGGCACGAGCGACGTGGTGGTGGCGGCGGTGTTGTTGTTGTAGTAGTTATGGTAGTCGTTGTCCGTACCGTGAGCGCTGCGAGTTACTACCACCACCGCGAGTGGACCGCGCCTGTGTTGATGTCGCGCGCGCGCTGTATATTTGTATGCGGCGGTGGGGGAGCGGTGCCACAGTGGTTAGCGCAACCGCGCTCGCTGCGAACCCGGCGACCTGAAGGATTGTCCGAACCGGCCGCCTAGGTCCGCTCGGCTGTAAATTTAGTACCCGGTGCGACGTGGAAAACTGTCCTCAGCGGGGAGAGACAACGGCCGTCGAGCGTGGCACTTAACGGCCTTGATGGGCACTCGCGGACGGTAATGGCGCGATTTGTTTATACTGTACGTCTAGACTGGGATCTCGGTGTTGTTTGGTGGTGTTGTGCGC